TACAGGAAACAATCTTTTAACATGCGGGTATAAATTAGTAGAAGGCCAAATCATGTGAAATTTTATTGTAAACTAGCGAAATCATTATAAAAACATATGTCGCTATAGTTCGCTACTACAATTTTAAGCTTTAAATAATATAGTTTATTAAAAAATGAGCAGGTACGAAACCGTGTCGATCTGTATCATCTCTCGAGATACGGATTCCTCCCTGAAAGCATGCCTATCTTGCAATAATTTGTTAGAAGAACATACTAAACAGATTTTTCACTTGTCATTGATCTAACGAAGAGGTTCCAAGGTTCCACTATCAGGTAACAGGATGTATACAACAAAATCAGATTCTACCTCCATAGCATTAGCTCTACGCTTACGATCGTACCAAGTTTCCTTTTCCGATCCAATTTTCCCCCTAACGAAAATGTTCTGGATTTATTTAAGCATACCGCCAGTGAAGCTGCAGCTGCCTCTTCACGTTAAGTCTCTTCGAGTCCACACCATTGCTGCAGAGTTTTGTTCCAAAGAATACGAAACACCAGAAAGGGAATCTTTAGGGAATCTTACTAATCTTTTTTTGTTTCTGATAAAAAAAACGGTTGACGCAAGCTGCCGGTAAGACATATCGTGTGCATAGGCCCAAAGCATATAATTAAAAAATAATACACTTCCTATAATGAAGAGGATATTAAGCTTTAGAACCAGCCGGGGCCTTTGTGACTCTGATAACGACGAGTACGAATTGAAACCCAGATCGTCATTTAGAAGCGACCAAAATAATTTTCGGTGCACCAGACGAAACAAAATGGATCCATGTATAAGGCGAGGATATAAATGTATGGCATGTGGCATGCAAACTTGAAGGTCAAATTCTTATAGTGTGAGTGCCTCATCAATATCTTTGTTTGATGCAACCTATATTATCATAGGAACAAAGAAGGTCTATGAGAAATAGATTCACTTATTATACGGAGTCATCAAGAAGGAATTATTTTTTTTACTAACGTGGCTAAAAATATGTCGCGGATTATAACTATATATATATATATATAGCAAATGGTAATTTTAAACACAGATTAAAAATATTTCAGAATTTTTTTGGACTGTAGCTGAAATTCTTTCTGACCTACTCGCTCATTTACGTATACGTCAGAAAAGCCCTAACCCTGTTCTGCGTCTCCGCTTTTCGTTTTGATTGGAAATTCCAGATGGAGCGAGAGCGTCAACAGATCAATATATCAAAGGCATAAATGCCGTATTTAGAGCAACACTACATACATAGATATAACATGCCATGTTGCGTATAATTATTTTTGTAATTCGTAAAGAAAAAATAATAATAAGTTTGGTAAAGCTGGATTCTTAAACTAATTCATTATTCAATATTACAGGTAGATAGACACACAATATTTTGTTACTCTCTGCGCACATTTAATGTAATACATAATTTTTCGATACTTAATTTAGATCTCCACTGCAGTCGTGACCGATGCCCCGTAGTTAGCCGGACCAGTATACGATCTACATATACGAAGTCTATCGAGGAAACTCATCAGTCATCCAATGCATGTGAAGCATCTATCTGGGCTGCAACTGATCAAACATCGATTGTTAGAACTTGCATATAGAAATTGTCTTTGAATGCTCGTCTTGTACCTGTCCAAGGCTGTTACTCATTGATTGAAAACATTGAACGCATTTAAATGTCGACGTCTCTAGCGTGATTCGAGCAAGACATATTTACGAATCATGGATAGCAGTGGACGAGCGTGGAATTGTTGCTTATTAAATTTTAAAGTAGTCCGACTGAAAAGAAGCCTCGAAACTTAGGCTAACGTCAACTTACGACGCAATCACTTTATCTTTCTAATCTAACTAGCTCTCACTTTAAGTAATTTGTATCAGACAGTTTTTATTTATGCGTTGCAACATTAACACGGTTCAACCGCGCGATGAACGTGTCAGCTAGGGCTCTAGTCTGCATGCACGTGCAAATGTACGGCTGGAATCTCGGCACTATTGAATGTGCGCGATTGTTTTGGCAAAAAATCGAAAATCACGGCATTTTAAATCGAAAATTTAGTCGAAAGTGATGTAACATAACTATGAAGTCTTTTTGTTAACATACTATCTGCAACACATATAAAGTTTCCTGTATAATCAACCAGTATCTAAAATGTACCTATTTTGTGTGTATGTTTTTTTTTGCTACTGGGTTTTTGGTGTGCGCCACGAACTGTGTTCGTGCATTATAGCCGTTTGTTTTCATACTGAGTTCTTATTGTCTTGCTCTATCTACAAGGATAATTATGATAAAGACAGCCTGCATCGCTCTAAGCAAATGCAGCACTAACAAAAGAGACGGGAATGTTGGCAGTAAATCGTGAACTTTTTTTTGGCAACCGTTAAAATCAAAACAAACTCGTCCTCGTTTCGTGGTGACAGCCAGCCAGCCAGCCAGCCAGCCGAACCTACGCTTAACAGCTACATCCAATGTAAAACT